TTATGTCAAGTTCTAGAGTTAAAAGAGGTACTTTTTATCCCCTAAAAGTAATCACGTCTGAGTCCTGGATTGTCAATACTTGAGTGCCACAAGATAGCATCTGCACGGGGTAGAACAGACTATGACAGAAATGACTTAAGGAAATCTTTTCACACTTTAGACACACAAATTAAAGTGTCAAAGAGATTTATCCCTGCATTCTGCATTTAGACACACAACGTGATCAATGGTAGGAGGGAGAACAATAAAATAAAGATAATGGATTTCAAGAAGGCAGTCTTTAGCAAACTCAGGGAGTATGAAGGTAAGTTCCCATGAGAAGCAAGTGTAACAGGAAAAACAATTGGAGCATTTTTTCAAAGAGACATTATTAAGGGCACAAGAGCAAACTATTACACTGCATAGGAAAGATAGGCAGTACGGCAAGAGACCACTGGCTTATTCAGGAGATCTTGAACGATATAAAAATAAATAAAAAAAAAGAGTCCTACAAACAGTGGGAACTAAGTCACATTATAAAGGATGAATATAAACCAGGGGTAGGCAATAAAAAAAAAAATCAGCGCACCAGGGTTAGTCCCTGACGGGCCATCGCTGCTATGTTTACCTGCGCCTCTGTGCTATGAGGCAAGTCTGAAGGAATTGGGCTTGTTTTGTTTGGAAAAGAGAGGACTGAGAAGGAACATGATAGCGGTTTTTAGGTATCTAAAAGGGTGTCACAAGGAGGAGGGAGAAAAATTGTTCTCCTTGGCCTCTGAGGATATGACAAGAAGCAATGGGCTTAAACTGCAGCAAGGGAGGTTTAGGCTGGACATTAGGAAAAACTTCCTAACTGTCAGGGTGGTTAAACACTGGAATAAATTGACTAGGGAGGTTATGGAATCTCCATCACTGGAGATATTTAAGAGTAGGTTAGACAGACACCTGTATAGACCATGCTTGGTCCTGCTGTGAAGGCAGGAGACTGGACTTTATCTCTTGAGGGCCCCTTCCAGTTCTAGTATTCTATGATTCTAGTATTCTATGAATCTATGATCTCAGCTCTCATTGGCTGTCATTCATGGCCAAGGCGAGCGGCTGGAAGGGGCACAGATCGGGGTGCCGCTTCCCGCCACTTGCATTGGCTACGAACGGTGATTCACGGCCAATGCATCCTAGAATAATCAAGGAGCTGAATGAAGAGATATCTGAGCCATTCGCTATTTTCTGTGACAAATCATGGAAGATGGCAGAGATTTATGAGCCTGGAAAAGGGCAAAAAAATATCCATCTATAAAAAAGGGAAATAAGGGCAACCCAGGGTATTACTGACCAATCAGCTCAATGTCTGTACCAGAAAAGATAATGGAGCAAATAATTAAGGAATCAGTTTGCATACATCTGGAAGATAATAAGGTGATAAGTAACAGTCAGAATGGGTTTATCAAGATCCAATCTTATCAAGCGAACCGGCTATCTATTTTTTGACAGATAACAAGCCTTGTGGATGGGAGGAAGTGGTAGATGTGGTATATCTAGATGTTAGTAAGGCATTTGACAGTCTTGCATGACCTCATTAACAAAATAGGGAAATACAACCTAGAGGGAGCTTCTATTAGGTGGGTACATAACTGGTTGGATAACCATTCACAGAGAGTAGTTATCAATGGCTCAGTGTCATGCTGGAAGGGCATAACAAGTGGGGTTCCACAGCTTTGTGACAAATTCTTCTCAATATCTTCATCAATGATTTAATTGCAGAGAGCACGCTTATAACATTTTCAGATGATATCAAGCTAGAAGGGGTTGCAAGAGCTTTAAAGGACAGGGTGAAAATTCAAAATGATCTGGACAAGCTAAAGAAACAGTGTGAGTTGAAGAGGATGAAATTCAATAAGGACAAATGCAAAGTACGTCACTTCGGAAGATACAAATCATGACACACATTCAAAATGGGAAATGACTGCCTAGGAAAGTGTATTGTGGAAAGGGATCTATGCGTCAGAGTGGACCACAAGCTAAATATCAGCGAACAGCGTAACACTGTTGCAAAAAAAGCAAACATCATTCTCAGATATATTAGCAGGAGTGTTGTAAGTAAAACACAAGTAGTAATTCTTCTGCTCTACTCCACACTGATTAGGCCTCAACTGGAGTACTGTGTCCAGTTCTGGGCACCACATTTTAGAAAAGAGGTGGACAAATTAGAGAAAGTCCAGAGAAGAACAATACAAATGATTAAAGGTCTAAAAACATGAGTGATGAGGGAAGACTGAAAGAACTGCGTTTGTTTACTCCGGAAAGGAGAAGACTGAGAGGGAACTTATTAACAGCTTTCAAGTACGTAAAAGGGTGTTACAGGGAAGGGGATGTAAAATTATTCTCTTTAACCTCTGATAGGACAAGGAGCAATGGGCTTAAATTGAAGCAAGGGAGGTTTAGGTTGGACAGTAGAAAAATCTTCCTGTCACAGTGGCTAAGCACTAGAATAAATTGCTTAGGGAGGTTGTGGAATCTCCATCACTGGAGATTTTTAAAGAGCTAATTAGACAGACACTTGTCAGGAATGGTTTAGATTGGGGTGGGCAATAATTTTTGAATGGAGGGGGTCACTTCAAATTTCAGAAGTGCTTCCAGGCCACCTGGAAGAGGTGGAGCCTTAGGCGGAAGAGGCAGGGTCGGGAGCTCTGAGCCCTTTCAACTGCTTTAACAGGTCGAACCTCCCTGGTCTGGTACCTCTGGGAACTGACTGGTCCTAGACCAGGGAATTTGCTAGACCAGGGGAGATCAATGCACCCAGGTGTCCACATTTCCTTCTGGCTGCCCCTGTGCCTGGGGCTCTGCCCTCCCCATGGGGGGAGGGAGACTTCACTAACCCCGCTATCCTAGTACAGCTCTGCTGTCACCCAGGGCTCCACTTTTTCTCCACAGCTCTGCTGCTGCCTGGGAGGGCTCTGTACTCTGCTCAGTAACCCTGCTGCTGACGGGGCTCCCTCCAGTGGTCCTGTGCCTGGAGCTTCATTCTCTGCCCAGCAGACCCTCTGCTGCCGGGGCTCTCCTCAGAAGTTCCACTGCAGATTCCTGAGCTCTGCCTGCCCTAGTCTGGCAATGCTCTTGGTCCCACAGGGTCACCCTGACAATGCCAGACCAGGGTTGCTGGACTAGGGAAATCCGGATTAGGAAGTGTCAACCTGTATTCAAAGGGCTTCCGCTTTAGCAGCCATGGGGAAGGCACGAGCCCTTTAAATAGAAGCAGTTGAAAGGGCTCGTAGTTCCCGGCCTGCTGCTAATGCATTGCCTGGGAGCCTACTGGCAGGCGCAAACACTTTAAATAGAAGTCAGTGAAAGGGCTCGTGCATCCCTGGTGGCTCACAGGCAACGTGTTAGGGGGCGGCTCCGGGAGCTGCTGCGGGCTGGATGAAAGAGCTAGGCGGGCCACATCCAGCCTGCTGACAGCCTCTTGCCCAGCCCTGGTTTAGATAGTGATTGATCCTGCCATGAGTGCAGGTGACTGGACGCAATGACCTAGAACTGAAAGGGACCTATTTATGATTCTGCATAATTATATAGCCAAATTAAATGACATTGAAAATAAGAGAAAAATATATAGATATAATATGTGTCCTGAAGAATCCCAAATCCTAAATTACGAGTTTCTCCATCATTGTAATGTGAGGGAGTGCTCTCTCAGTATTGTGCGCTCTTTATGTTCTTATGAATTTGCATGTCATCCTTGCACGGGACCCATGCTAATCTTCTCTGTTCCAATTTAAGTATATGTGCTGCCGAAATGCAGCACACTGAAGAGCGACTGTTCTTTCCCCACTTGTAAAATGAGAACAACAACAATTACCTAGTTTTGTAAAATGCTCTGAGATCGCGGAAGGAAAAGGACTGTACAATATTTATCCTATGCTTTTTTTAGCAGCCTTGACTGATGAAAATGATCATGCATTTTTAGCATGAAGGTCCACCTAAATAGATATTACACTTTGTAGAAATGTGTTCCGATTTTGGTAAGCTTATGTATAAGACAAAATGCAGTCTCTTTATATCATATCTTAACTTCTCTCTCATGATTTATCATCTGTTCGATTGTGGTAACACCACTTCTTTGCTTTTGTAATATCCTGGAGATCCTCAGATAAAAGGCACAATTATTAATTAATTATTATTGCCTGATACTGGACCCTTTAGTACCATCAATTTATAAAAAAAATTTAGAAGTAACATGCTAAAGATACAAAAACTAACAGTCAGAGTATTTTTAAATACACAGAAACAGGAAGCTCAACAAACAATCAGTGGGGGCACTTGTAGGTGATCAAGATGTTAAAACAGCAGCTAAATTAATTCTTTGCATTAGTTTTCACTATAGAAGAAGTCAGAATGATATTCACATATTTTTGGACAACAAAGGAAACATACTGATGCATCCTTACAAGAGGGTTTGGAATCAACTGATAAACTGAACAGTAATAAGTCACCAAAACCAGATTATATTTACCCAAGACTTCAGAAGGAATTCAAATATGAAACTGCAGAACTATCAACTGCAGTGTGTAACCTATCACTGAAATAAACCTCTGTACCTGGTAATTAGATGGTAGCTACTATAAGGCTAATTTTTAAGGAGATTGTAGAGCTGTAAAAGGTTTAGTAAAGGGTAACAAAGATGATCAAGGACATGAAATGGCTTCCATATGAGGAGAGACTAAAAAGATTAGGGCTACGTGGCTGAGAGCGCGGATGGGATACGATAGAGATCTATGTAAAAGTGAAAGGGGGGCAATGTATGAATTTTCCAGGATTTGTGTTAGATTTTAAAGCTGAACTGTAACAGACTTGGTTTATCGATACATAACAGAATTCAACAGGATGAACCATTTTTATTAAATCCAGAGAGTGTGAGCTTAGTAGTTGTAACCCTGACATCTTTTCAGGCCAACTTTTAGCTTCATTGTTGTATCTCAAATTGGGGTTATGGGTGGACTGGTTATTGTTAACCAACAAACAATTTATTAGTTCACCCAACACACATTTATATATAACCAACAGTTCACCACTCAAAACATGACACAATCAATTGCGTCTTCTGCCCAGACAATGCAGCCTTGCCAACCGTTATAACAGACTAGAGTTGCTTAAGCTAATCAGTTCTCAATTCTTTAGTATTGACACAGTTATCATACTTCCCACAATGCACTTGTCTTTCAGGACACTTTGAAGAGCTGGTTAGTGCAGTTTCTTTTGCAACAATCCGTTCAGATGATTAAAAGCAATTGCTTAAGACAATCCTTTTCAATCTCTTTGAGAGCAATTTGCTTGGACTTACAAAGGAGTTAAAATCTAAAATGCAGTTACTTGAGGTTTTATTAGAAAATGTAGGCTCAGCAAGATAATCCATAGTTATTTATATTCAAGAAAAGAAGAGAAAATACAGTCTTTGAAGTAATTTCTTCTTGTTCTGTTTATCCTGGGAAGCTGGAGGAGAGTCCTTTCCGCATAGCTCATCCAGACATCAGTTACACTTGGCAGCTTTTTCTTGTGTTCAGTCAACTCTACTGGGTACATCATTACTTCAGTTTATATACCCTACTTTCAGGGCTCAAAGAAGTGGATCAATTTTTTATTCCCTCTGGATATGTGCTAAGGGAAGCCTTAGATTTTAGAGAGACATGGTGGATGAGATAATACTTTTTATTGGACCAACTTCTGATGGCGAGAGAGACAAGCCAAACCCAAAGAAGAGCTTTGTGTAGCTCAAAAAGCTTAGCTAAGAAGTTGGTCCAATAAAAGATATGACCTCACCCACCTTATCCCTGCTTAGATTTTTTGCTGCTTCCATTGGCATCCAATAGATGGCACTAGTGTATAACACATTTCTTTAATCCTTTTCTTACCGGAGGCTTTTAAAGTTTGATTCAAGGATTGTATTTCATTATTTGCCACCAACTATCATTTGGGATCCCCCCCCTTTTAAGCAATTTTTCTATTCCAAAATTTTATCCTGGTTTATATCTTTTAACATGTCTTCTTCCTTGTGCCTGCTCATTCCTATTACTTGTTGAGTGCAACTATTATTTATAATGAAAACCAACACATTTATTATAATCTTCTAAATCTGGAGGGATACTCTAGTCTTTAATTGTATGCAAGTGTTTCACCCTATATTTGAGGCATACAACATAACCAGATTCTTCACAAATGGGAGACTGTAGAACTGACTCACAACACAATCAAATGCGCAGACATGAAAACTCATACCCCCTGACACTGGGGGTGGTACGACCTAAAGGGAATGAGTGATTGACCCACATGTCTCCTCTACATAAGAGCAGCCATACTGGGCCAGACCAAAGGTCTATCCAGTCCTCTAGCCTGTCTTTTGACAGTGGCTAGTGCTACAGGCCCCAGGGGTAATGAACAGAGCAGGTAATCATCAAGTGATCTATCCCCTGTCGCCCATTCCCCGCTTCCATCCCTCCTTAGTTGTCTCTTCCAAACTTTTTTGTCTCGTCCCAGTCTTTTAAATCTCTCCTCATATAGCAGCCATTCCAAATACCTACTCTTTTTTGCTGCTCTTTTCTGAACTTTTTCCAGTGCCAAGATATCTTTTCTGAGATGAGGCGCCCTAGCAACCTCTCTGCTCTGCACCCAGCCTGGGACCACCATGTTTTCCCCACACCACCAGAGTTACCTGCAATGGAGGAAGGGCTCTGTCCTTCTCCCACCACATCCCCCTGACCCTTCAGCATGCTCCATCACACTCCAGGCCAGCTGGGCCTGGGCAGAGAGTGGGAGGAGCTACTTCCCACGTGACTGAAGCTGGACCGTTTGAGTGGCTGACTGTGCAGCATGGCAGCTGGCTGAGACAACTTGCCCCAGGCGGGGGCAGGGTGGGCATCTGCCCCAGTCAGGCTCTCTCTCAGGCAGCTGGCATGGTATAGTATTGTCACCCTTACTTCTGCAGTGCTGCTGGTGGGGTACTGCCTTCCGCACTGGGCACCTGGCCAAGTGCCACCGCTCTTAGGCTGCCCAGCTCTGAAGTCAGCACAGAAGTAAGAGGTGGCAATACTCTGACCCCTCCCTAAAATAACTTTGTGCCCTGCCCCCTACTACTCCTGTTTGGGTCAAGACCCAGTTTGAGAAATGCTGGTCTACCCCATGAAATCTGTAGGGTATAGAGGAAAAGCTCATTAAAACAGATGTCATGGGGGAAACCAGAGTTCATGGTCCATGACACATTTTTAATGGCTGTGAATTTGGTAGGGCTCTAATCATGGCAAGCCAAACAGAAATCTGGGGGGATATTTGATCCCACATGCCACCTCACGCACTGCCTGTGTGCGCAGATTCTAATCTGGGATGAAAGATTATTCAGGGTATGTTTGATTTACAAGAAACACAATGGGGAGTGAATTTTTTGAAGTGAAAATACTTTGCTTCAGAAAGCAGGGTGTGACCTTGCTTGTTAAAGTGGAACTTTTTAGCTAGGTTGGAAGGGAGAAGTAGTTTACTACATATGGAAATTATGAGAGATTCCTTGTGAGGTGATTAACACCACTCTCATTAGCCATTTTAGTTTCTATTTTGGGGAACAGGAACTCCCAACCTTGGCTGATCTGTGAGTCCTTGGACAAAGCGCCTCCCATGATGTGAGCCATTTTATTATTGTCTTTACTTCTTAGGTGAATCCTATTTTGGCATAAGCAGAGATGAATAGCTTACATCTATGAAATCACAAATGGAGTGGAAAAAGTGAGTAGAGAAGTGTGATATTTACCTTTTCTCACAAAAACCAGGGGTCACCCTAATTAATAGGAATCAGATTTAATACAAACTAAAGGAAGTACTGTTTTGCACAAAGCACAATTGATCTGTGGAACTCATTGTAGGGATGTGGTGATGGCTAAGGGAATAACTGGGCTAAAAAAATTAGATAAGTTCATGGAGGATCGGTCCATCAAGAGCTACTAGTTAAAATGGTCAGGGATCCAACCCTATGCTCAGGCCAACCCTAAATATTCAGCTTTGTTTGTATGCAGTATTGTAGCCATATTGGTCCCAATAGAGACAAAGTGGGTGAAGGGAAGACTGGTGGATCTCTCCAACTAATCTGTGCTGTGCACTTCCCCTGAAATTCCGGTACAGGCCACTGCCAGAAACAGGATAGTGGGCTAGAGGGATCATTGATCTAATCCAATATGGCAGGTCTTAAAGGTTTATGTCCTGATTCACCATTCAATTCAATGGATAGTTGTGTTTAAAAAAATACCTTATGGTACAACATAGCCCTAAGATATTATTATAATACCAAAATATTATTAGCACTCGTGTTACTAGGACTGGTTAGAAGTTGGAACAGAAGGGATGAGTAGAGGAATGAAAGTAAAGCCAGAACTATGTGACCTGCCAACTCTCCACAGATCAGCCACCACAGCTGCATTAGATTGTCTGGTTTCCACCAGCATGACGAACAAGAGCCTCGGAGTCCCCTGCAGACTCTCTTGCTGCTTTGTACAAATGGTGCCTTCTTGCTTTCTGTTTTACTGCCACATTGAAATGTTGACGTAGTGGATTCTTAATTTACCCAATGTATTTTTTCTTTGCTGAAAATATTGTTAGCATACAGTAACACTGTTAATTTGGGCGTACGAAATTACACTGCAAAATATATTACTATCCATGTATTACAAATCCAGCTACTTCGGTTCATGCAAGTCACTCGCATTATTGAATTTTCTCTTCAACTTGAAACAATATTCACTGCTCCCTGACAAAGTACTGTTTCCTCCA